TTTTTTTTGGTTTTTCGAGACAGGGTTTCTCTGCGTAGCTTTGCTCCTTTCCTGGAGCTCACTTGGTAGCCCAGGCTGGCCTCGAACTCACAGCGATCCGCCTGGCTCTGCCTCCCGAGTGCTGGGATTAAAGGCGTGCGCCACCACCGCCCGGCAAGTGCTTCCTTTTTAAAGCAGGACAGCTTTGTCCTACAGCAAGCACCTCAGACAGACAGACACCTCTACTGTCTACTGTCCAGCAAGATGAGCAGCTGTCTTCAGCTGGTGGCGGGAATTCAAGTCCCCAGATGTTTCCATGATTGGGATCCCAAAAGAAAAGATACTCAGAGAACTCTGAGTGAAGGCCTGCATGTGGGTAGTCACACAAATGATACAACACGTCACAAGAGAAGGATGGTGTGCAGGGAAGAGAGACTTTAGCTGACAGTAAGGTCAGTAGTAGTCAGCATGTGTTTCTACTAGAGGAGGGAGGGAGAGAGGGAGGGAGAGAGAGACAGAGACACAGACAGAGAGAGACATAGAGACACACACAGAGAGACAAACAGATAGTAGAGACAGACAGACAGACACACAGAGAAGTGGAGGGAGGAAGGGAGGGGAAGGTAGAGAGAGAAGGTAGAAGGGAGATGGAAGGAGAAAGGAGGAGGAAGGGAGGGAGAGGGAGAGAGGGAGGGAGAGAGACAGAGACACAGACAGAGAGAGACATAGAGACACACACAGAGAGACAAAGAGATAGGAGAGACAGACAGACAGATACACAGAGACACAGAGAAGTGGAGGGAGGAAGGGAGAGGGAGGGGAAGGTAGAAAGAGAAGGTGGAAGGAAGAGAAAGTAGGAGGAAGGGAGGGCGGGGAGAGGGAGAGAGGGAGATGGTGAGAGACAGGAGAGAGACAGGAGAGAGAGAGAGAGAGAGAGAGAGAGAGAGAGAGAGAGAGAGAGAGAGAGAGAGAGAGAGAGAGAGAGAGAGAGAGAGAGAGAATAGGATACAGGCTATTCCTAGCTTCCATTCATGGAAACTTGTATCTGGTCTCAAGAACAGAAGAACTGAAAGTCCCACTGTGCTCCATCCTGCTGGGAAAGTGCATTTGCCCATCAATTATGAACATGGAATCTCCTGGGCTAGATGCAAGATGAATAACATTCCACAAGCTCTGGATTCTTTGGTTTCTCTATTTATTCTGAATAAGGCACCCCTATTTTGGACAACACACACACACACACACACACACACACACGCACACGCACACGCACACGCACACGCACACGCACACGCACACGCACACGATGTTTAAAGAAATGGAGGATAGTGGGCCTGGTGAAGAAAAGTGTCCAGGGGCACATGTTAGTACCCCAGCATTTGGGAGTTTGTGGTTGGAGAACCTCTTGAGTGTGCTAGTTTGAGTCCAGGTAACAGAGTGAGACCGTGTCTCAATAAATAAATAATAAGAAACCCCTGAATGAATAAAAATTAAATAAAGAGTAGTTTCCTTAGTTGCAATGGTCATATATCAAAGGGCCAATAGCCACATGTGTCCAAGATTTATTTCATAAGATGAAAGATTTTTATGTGTATGTATGTAAGCCACATGTGTGCAGGTGCCCATACAACATTATGCAGGTGCCAGAAGTGGGTGTTAGATCCCCTGGAGCTGGGATTACAGAGGGATGTGAGTTGCCTGGCTGAACTCCATCCTCTGGAAGGCAGCACAGCTTTTCACAGATGAACTGTCTCTTCAGTCAGGTGCATGTCAGATGCCCAGAACTTCTCTTATCATAAGAAGTTCCACCAGAAAGTGCTAGGATGGCTCCCGTGAAGAAGATGACACATTCTGTATGTGCTTTGTTTAGATATGAAGGTTGAAATAATGCATCATAGTAATAGAATACAGTAACACATGGAATAAATAGTGGAAATGACTTTTCATTTTTGTTATTTTTTTTTTTTTAAGAAGTGGTATTTTTTTTTTTTTTTTGGTTTTTCGAGACAGGGTTTCTCTGTGTAGCTTTGCGCCTTTCCTGGAGCTCACTTGGTAGCCCAGGCTGGCCTCGAACTCACAGAGATCCGCCTGGCTCTGCCTCCCGAGTGCTGGGATTAAAGGCGTGCGCCACCAACGCCCGGCTAAGAAGTGGTATTTATTACATAGCCCTGGCTGGCTTGGAACTTTCTATGCAGTTGTGGCTAGCCTTGAACTCACTATGACGGCCAGGCCAGCCTTTAGCTTGCAGCAATCCTCCTGCCTCTGCCCCACGGATGCTGAGATAATAGGCAGATGCCACTATGTCCAGCACCAAATCATGGAGAAGTTGAACAGGATACATGCGAGGTTTGCATTAAGGAAACATTATAAACAGAAATGGCTATGTACAGACGCATTATTAGGAGAGAGCCTCGTTACTGAGGGCACCAGGCTGCAGGCCGCTTGGCTGTTACCGGATTGCATGTGGTGTTGACTGTCTTTTCCCTGGAAGAGGTCACCATATCGTAAGAAGAATTCTTTACCCGAAGCATGTTCTGTTCCAGGTACTCGGCTCTATGTGCCCTCTACCCAGTTACAGTTGCCACTTCAACAATTCTTCCATCTCATGACATTGACCCCTTTCGACAGGATAAGGACACTGAGAGTTTTCAGGGTCAGTTAATTTCTGGTAAGTACATTGGATTGATGGGTCTAGCTTTTTATTTTTTGAGGTGTCAACACTTACTTTATTTTACAAACTAAAGCATTAAAAACACAAGAACAAGGGCAGTTAACAACACATAGATTCTCCTTTAGATGGAAAGAAATTGTTTTTTTTTTTTCTTCCATTGCCTGAATTTTCTCAATTTATAATGGATTGAGCATTGATCCAAAGTCCAGGGTTTGTAAACTCTTACAACAGGTGAAAGCTGCTAATAACAGAAGCAGTCTGGACACTCTACACATCACCTGACCCACCACTTACAGATGTGAGGAAGGGCTGCACCCACCACACAAAGAAGAGAGAGCAGCAGAGATGACGTGTTCTTCCTGAGGTCAGCAGGGCCCATCTTTGTGAAGGGAAAGTGAAATGTGCACTTCAGGGAAGAAAGGGGCACGGAGCAAAGCATGCTGGATACAATATGGAGGAGCATCCGGAGAAAGAAGGGTGCCAGGGAAACACCAATGAGTAAGAACCAGGAAGAGTAAGGGAGACACCCGCTTCCGAAATCAAGTGCTCAGGAGTAGCCAGGAAATATTTTATTGTGGAGGAATCCAAGCCTCTCCCCACCCTCACAGGTGTCTGTGGTATATGTGTTCTCATTCGTGAATGCTGTATATGCAAATCCACTACTCATTAAATTCTATATATGTAAATCCCACCACTCATTAAATGCCATATATGCAAATTCCACTAGTCATTAAATTCTATATATGCAAATTCCACTACTCATTAAAATTTTAAGCAAATCTTTTGCTGACATATTTTACATCTATCTATCTATCTATCTATCTATCTATCTATCTATCTATCTATCTATCTATCTATCTATCTATCTACCTATCTATCTATCTATCTATCTATC